CGATTAACTTTCGCCGGTTCGCAAGCGGCAGGGAGCGGGCCGCAGAACAACCGCGTGGGCTTTGCACGTTTCCAAAGACGAACCAAACTTTCCGTCTTAGAAATTGTTATGATCCCCTGGCGTCTTAGTGAAGAGCCGCCAGCCGCCATGCCAAACTAGGACGTCATCAAGGAACAAATCTTCGAGGGACTGGATTAGGGGGATTTGCACTCCTGGCGTTGATCGAGCGCACACCAACGAAGATGAGCATATTTCGATTGGGCAAGAAAATCGGTTCTGGAGGCTTTGTGGGTTTACTTTCAGTTCAATGGTTGCGTTGTGCTCACCCATTTGTAGAGCCACGTTTTCGAGGGGACGAACACCGGCACTGGCGCGGTTTGCGCAATCAAGAAGTCGAGGGCATCGTTGCGGCTAAAGCGAACGCTTTTGAAGCACGAGGCGAGAATTTTGAAGCGGTTGGAAGGCCATCCAGCGATTCCAAAGGTGTACGGATATGGTCGCATCGAACACTTTGAGTTGCTGGCGATTGAGCTACTGGGAAACAGTCTCGCGGACGAAGACGACGAATTTGTACGGGAATTTTCGATCCAGGAGGTTGCAAATATTGGGGTTCAGATTGTGCGTTGTATCTTTTCAATGGTAATGCTCGTCGTTTCTCACCGATTTCTGCCATAAAGTTATCGGCCTTGGAGCACATTCACAACCACGGCATAACTCATCGCGATATCAAGCCCCAAAATATTCTTTCACGCAACGGAACCGACTTTTCTCACCTCTACCTCATCGATTTCGGACTCGCAAGGCGCCTACTCACGGGAACACCTCATCAGATTGATCTTGTGAAGGAACGCATCAATGTGGTTGGAACCTTGTCATGGGCAAGTTTGAATGCCTATAACGGAATTGGTATGCCTGTTTTCTCGTCGGCGGGGTCAACGATCTCATCTGTTATCAGATTTAAATCCAAGGGACGATCTGGAGTCCTTGGCTTTCGTTCTTCTTTACCTTCTGCGCGGGAACCTGCCGTGGCATAAGCTCTGCGATGCTGGCACCGCTCTGGCTCGCATACCTCAAATCAGATCCAAGATGCTATCATGGAACGGGGCGCGACTCGCTGAGGGATACCCTTCGGTGTTTGGCGAACTCCTGGACTACGCTCGACAGCTAGATTTTGACGAGCCCATTGACTACGAGCGATTCCGCGCCGCTTTTGAAAAGCTGCGCCATGCGAAGGTAGAGCGTAACGTGAGACCTGGTAAGATATTTTTGAATATGAGTCCCGATGCTGCTCTCATAGTTATTCCTACAGATGCGATACCCATAATTGCGAAAGAATGTCCGGCTGGTCCGGGAGATCTCTTTCTCGTTCAGATTAACCCACGAACGTCAGTGGAAGGCTACACTCTGCGAGACGACAATTCCTCTTACTGGACGGATCCGTCGTTATCTGGGGACTCCTGGAAATGTCCTTTCCGCCCCGCCGTCATTCTATCGACCAAGGAAACGGCGGAAGGGCGTTATTCATTTGTGGTTGTTCCTCTCACAAAGCTAGCCCCCGGTGATGGGTTGTCGTTGAAAGAAATCGGTGTTTTTGCTGGCCTACCCGAGTCTCTTTCGAACCTCTCTGCCTACACGTTCCCTCGCGCTCTCGAGATCCGATGTCTCCCTACTCAAGTACTCCTTTATTTCTTCCCCCAGGAATCACAGCTGATATCTGAACTGTAGACGCTGCTGCATTCGCAATGGAAGCTATCACCCGCTGCGCTTGAGTTATTACGGGAGAAGTTTGACAAACGTCTCCCCGTGTTCGATTACAGCAAGACAGAGGATAGCAATCCCGACGTCCGTCACGAGACGCGGCTGCGAATGCAGGGCAGCGTTTTTTATGCCAACCTTCTGCCCTTGGATTCATCGTCAGATACCGAAATAGATTGGACAGGTGTACGAGGGTGGTTTGACGAATGTGTTCGAGTTGGTAGAAGACGTGGCTGGGATGATGGTTTCTTCTGGACGGGTCATCCCGTCGAAGAGAGGACATCTCCTAGGCTGGACGATAGCTACTATGGGGCCGATGCTACGTCGTGGGATTTCAGACAGCAAGAACGGGACGAGGAGTTGCAGATTGATGGTGAAGATGACGTCGATCTGCCCATCATAGAACAAGTTGTTCAAGCATAGGTTATCGAATCGGATATTGCAAGTTTGTTATTTCTGGGAATACGAATAAATGTACAAGGACTCGGATGTCGATGACAAGGCCTCAAAAAGTGTTTACAAAATGTGCATCTGGTATTTCGACCGTTTTCATCTGACTTTCTTTGGGCACACGATGTATTCAGCTGCGATGCTTTATTTACCACGTGGCGAGGAAATTGAAACGAAGCCACAACTGTAAGTAACATTCGGAGACTTGCAACGCTGGTTTCGAATTCAGTGCGACTGGTAGTTACTCCCCGCCGTATGGTACACGATTGAACGTAAAAGTCACAAGGGATGACAACGCTAAGTCAGGGTACATAGTAGTAGCTTACTCCAGCAGTCCTCTATAGATATATTACACGAGAGAATGGCCGTCATTGGCTTTGGTACTGAATATATAGATTGTGCATTAGCCGCAATACCGTCAGGATTGGGGCTACAATGCGAGTGTTAGTCATATCAACCGTTTATTTTTCACTTTCGTTGTGTGGAGTCCTTAGCGCCGGAATGCGACTGGTGGTGGGCGAAGCCTCTGCAGCCTCGCAATACAATCGATGTCAATACTAATAGCGATCTTCTGTCACGTCCAAGAAGATCACTTCCCGGCCAATAGGGATGTTCGATTATACAGCTTCCGGGTGAGAACTCGATGTCGGCACGTGTCCAGCGCATGGGCGCCTATCCTTATCACGATCAGATTCACCGTTTCTTCATCTCTCCACCATCCCACCCACCATCGCATAACCTTCGTCTTTATAATGAAAATTGACGAAGAACAGAAATGGGATGATGAGAAGAAAGTCGATGAGCCCAGAGACTCGGAGTTGGGGAGCCACTTCTTGAAGGGGGACTTTGTCGTGTTCAAGGTAGAAATATTCCATTATATCTAGCATCTAGCGTGCTATGTAACATGATATTCTTTTATTTATTCACAGGCAGAGAACAAGCTATTCAGAGTGCCTCTCTACCAGTTCACGGGCGGTTCGGAGGTTTTCCAGACGCTTTTCTCACTGCCCGCGGGGAACGAGGAAGTACAAGGGCGCAGCGAAACCGATCCAATAGTCCTTCCACCTACTATATCTGCGGATGATTTTGGCAATTTCATGAAGGTCCTCTACCCTCAGTGAGTTTTGTTTTTCATTGTTTCGCAATGCGCATCGATTGTGGATTGTTTGCTGATATAACTTATGTTAATGATTATCAGGGGGACATGTTCATGGTTCACGTTCCCCAAGGCCGTGTGGATCTCCACTCTGAAATTATCGAGCATGTGGTTTTTCCTTCACTTCAGGAACGTGGCCATCCAGCGACTGTCGGAGAAGAACCGTTTATGGGACGTCCCGCCAACCGAAAGGGTAGTTCTGGCGCGGACATACAAAGTCCCTCAGTGGTTGTTACAAGGCCTTCGAGAGTTGGCGGGGGATAGGGTTCTTGTGTCTCATTCTGACGCCAAGATAATCGGTTTCGAGACGGCATTCAAGCTTGCTCACATCACTTTTGGAGCTGATAAACCTGTCGTGCCAGTGAATAAAACACTATCTACAGCTCAATATTGCACGCTTGTGGAACCTCGCGTGGATGCGGTATTTGATGCTGAGGTTCAGGAGCTTAGGCGGGAGGCTAGTACGTATGCTCCGGACGTGAACCAAGGTTAGGCGAGGATTGTACCTTGACATTGACGAGTAGTAGTACTTGCTGATTATATTGTATAATTGTGGAATTGATAGCTTCGGAGAGATAGAATTGTACTCAATCCGTTCACTAGACTCGCCTCCGGTCTCTATAGGTTCAACTTGTTTGTTTGAGTGGAGAAATGTAGTGATTGAGAGGTTTTTAAAGTGGACACCAGAATGGCGGTAGTTTGGTTTCGAGACTACCCGTACACCGACCCTTTGATGTCATAGTTTGGAGGTAGGTTCATCAAAGGTTACGATCAATACCAGCATACGTATGTATGTCCTTAAATTACAGAATAATAAAAGGATAAATCTATTTGGAAACCCCCCTTTCCAAGAGAAACCCGGGGTTTCCAATGATTGACCTCTCGTTTGCAGAATTTGATGACCATTAGAGTTTGGCCATCAGCCGCCTTAGCCCCAGAGGTCCTCCCGTGAATTGCGTGAACTTGGGTGTGAAATAGTGGTTATTTCGCTCCCTTGCGCCAGTAAATTGTGAGTGGTATAGTGGGTGTGTATGCAGGGAGCTAATGCAATATCCTTGGCGCGGGAGCCACATTTTTCTCGATTTTTTCGTGAAGTTTGAACACAAGGCGCTTAATTGCACCTGCCTTTTTCAACGTCATTTTCAATTTTATTCTTCAGTACCAGTTATCTGCAACCGTTCGAGATAATTTGTTTCCTTTGGGAGCCAACAATAAAATATTTTCGGGAGTGTACTTATTAATAAAAGTTCTTTTGCTCGCACAGAGAGTCACGGTATTGAGTTACTCGCCACTGGCATGAGCCAGCTTTTGGGCGCCAAATTTGCTAGCAACATGTAATTGTAATAACTACGTACATTTTTCAGCGCTTGGGATAGACGTCTGTCGATCGATGATAGAGCTCGATACAGTCGATGGTGGCATTCCTCATTCCGCAATTCTGACGGTCGGCACGTCGGCATATTCGATCCGGGAAGACGTACAGCGCTCGCCGTTCGCGATATTGGAATTTGGAAACCCCGTGCAAACTATCTGGAAACGCCGGGGTTTCTCTTGGAAAGCGGGTTTCCCAATAGATTTATCCAATAAAATATGAATACGTGTGAAAGATGAACAAAAGAATACGAAGGGATAGGATTAGTGCATTAAGAGGGAATCGAACCCCCGGCGGGTCGACACAATATTCTGCCCGGATGGCAACGACCCAGGTTACCACTACCCCATTAATGCGATCCTGGATTGCGACACGGTGTCAAGTTCGGTCGCGAGGTCTCAAGGACATCCTTGTGTTATTTAAGCGCCTAAGGGTATTATTTGCTAATCCTCGAAGGATAGATGGACTGTTCTCAAGCCACTCTGAAAATGGTGCCTTTTTTGAGCGGTTGAACTACTTAAGAAAGGGTGGTGTCTCGTGCCAATAAGTGTGGGCAGGTGAAAGATTAGAGGGACTTACTCAGGCTCATGGCTTCCATTTATGTCTTTTGGAAGATTGCGCCAGCGTTGTTGGTGCGTGCGATGCTATCGACAGTGAAGATCACTTTCACACAAATATAATTTCGAGCCGTTCGCTTATTACTCGTCGGTGGGTGACTTGAACTGATCAATCTGCCATTTGGCTGCAGCCCAATCATGAATTTGTGAATGTTCTACGTCAAGAACCTGACCTGTGCTGAGGAATGTTCGATGATAAGCAGGCTACGTTGCGGGGTTGCTGTGGTGCAGTTATTTTGAGATGAGGGCGTTGAGAGGATATCAATTCGTTGAGATTTTATCTGGATTCGAAGATATTTAAACAATGTCGTGGAAGGAAAACCTAAGGGGTGTTAAGAAGTAGTTTAGATAAGATAGCGAGTATTCTGAATATGATCGAGATGTTAATCAAGATAGACTTGAAAGCGGTTGAACAAGTATATTTAGTTAATCGCACGTCGCGCAGCTTCAAGCGCCATGCCAGTGAGTGGCGCCGGGCGGGCATTAGCTCATGTCAGTTTCGTTGGTTTTTTTGGGGCGAAGTTCGCAGGATGGATGCGACTCGGATGAAGGAACGCTGATATCGAGAGAGGGGGCGAATGTAATGAGAATGCTTGATGTATGAGGTTCATCGTTCGAAAGTCCATGCACCGGCTTAGCTCTAGTTAGTACATAAGTATGAAAAACCTAGACTGAGATGACGATACACGAATATTAATAGCAGGCAACGATGGTAGATACTTATCGCGAGAAGTTGTGATAGATAGGGAGAAGCTTTGGAAGGATAGGATTGGCGGCGAGCTTGCTAGATATAGCTCTGGGATGGACGGATACTTCACACTCATGACCAGACTCCCTCATGGTCTGGATAAAGTGTTGATCGCACGCGGCAAAGGGTTGCCGTAGATGGATGATTACATAATGCAGAATTGATGACGGTCTCTCTTGTCTTTTTCCCACCTCGCACCACCGACGACAACGACGACGACGAAGACGACCAGGCGCCCATTTCGGTCAAGAGATCTGGAAGCCCAACGACGAGGAAAAGGAAACCGATAGACTTGTGTTTGGAACCAGTCCTTTCGAGTTTTTTTTGTCGAACCTATACCCTCGTCTGGATACCCTGAAGGATGGCCAACCGCTGGCAGTCACCACCGAACGCGGGAGCTCCAAGCAGTAGTTCTGCGTCTGGCTCGAGTTCGAACAGTCATTTACGGGACGACGCGCAATTCATCGAATTTACCCCTCTCCCAACCAACACCGCTCGTACACCAGTCCCACACGAAGACGCCCGACTGCTTGGATCCCAGCCCAACTCTCCTTCAGACTCGTCACAGTTCCAGCTGGCACAGCAGCAGGCTCTGTTGTCCCAGTCTCAACAAAGGCCAGCCCGCACGGCCTCCACCACCTCCTTCGCTCCTTCCCCACTCAACCCCTCCGGCGCCCCTCCGTCCAGTTTCTCCAACAATCCCTTTTCACGGTCCTACGCCGGGTCTTCCAGCGCCCCTTCCTCCTCCACCCCGACGTCTCCATCGAGACCGACCTCCCGGGGCTCCCGCCACCCAACATCCGCCTTTTTCCCGGCCACTCTCAGTACGGCTCACGCTGCAGCGGACGACAACGTTATGGCCGCTCTCGGTCTCGGCCCGCATAACTCGGGTCTACCCCATTCCTTCCCTCTCTCCCCCGGCGGTCGTGGATCCATGGTGTTGTATCGACTCGCGGATGAAGGAAGGGAAAAGGACAGTTTGCTCCCTCCCAACCTGCGTTTCGTAGGTTCCGAGTCGAATCGCGCCTCCATCATCTCCTCGTCTTCGTCTTTTGTTTCTCTCACGGATTCAAAGTATCATGGCGCTGCTGTTCCGAGCGTACGTGGACTTGTCCCGTATGCGTACGATCCTAGTGGGGATGAGAACGAACCGATGGATGAGGAGGACTTGTTGCACGATCCTCGGGCTTACGCTGCCTACAAAGCGGGTCCGACCAAGGAGACCTCAACGATACCTCCAGGAAAACGACACAGTCATTCCTTCCCGTGGCGTGGAATCGCCAATGTCTCAGTTCTCGTGTCGTTGATACTCGCGCTGCTGTGTTTGTTTATTTTTTACCCGGTGTTGACGTTCTATAGGGACGAGCAGAGGAATAACGCGATTCAGGGGAATGTCAGGGTTAATGCTACTGGTGTGTGCCTTTCCCCCTTTTTTTTCTTTCGTAATCTTACTGTCTCTGCCTCGTAATCTTACTCTCGCCAGGACAAGCCCCCGTTCTGTTTCAAATGCCAGAGCCAATTGATGAGGCCACGCCAAAGGAAGCACGCAGCCGTACAGGCTTCGACGGGAACGAGTACGAGTTGGTGTTTTCGGACGAATTTGAGGTGGAAGGGAGGACGTTTTGGCCTGGTAAGTTTTGTCTGTCGTTTTCTCTTTGTTTCGTTCTCCTTCTTTGTTTCTTTTCGTTTTCGTTCTCGATTTCGATTTCGATTTCATTTCATTTTCGTTCTTGTTCCTATTCCGCAAGGCAACGAGCTTCATACCCTCATTTTTGGCGTCTATCCACGAGATTTTGGTTTTTACAACCTTTTTTCTCGCATGCGACATGGGATGTCGGTACGTACGCGTGCGTCTTGTCGGGTGTAGGATTCTTTCTTCCTTTCCGTGTGCTTCGCCTAGGTTTCCGTCTTGAGTGTCCTTTTGCAGCGGAACGATGTTCGCGCCCTTTAGCCTTTTTTTCATGATTGTTTCCATTTTTCCGTTCGCTCCCTTCAACACGACCACCCTCCGATGTCGATGACCCTACCACGTCAGCTGCATCGACCTTTCCCCTTTTTTACTCGTGTGTGCCAGCTTTCACGTTCTTCTGATGGGGCCCTGCCAACTCGACCTGGCAGGCCCTTCGATTTTCTTTTTTATTTTCGTTTTGTTCGGTTACTTTATTTCGTTCTTGTCCTTTGCCATTTTTCACTATCAACATCACCACAATTCACCACAATCGTACCCTCCTATGACGAAAACCACGACGTGTGTTCTGTGTTTTTCACTTTCACACAAACCACGTATCAATTGCGTCATTTCGTTCCACCCCTTTCTTTCCCATGCGAACTTTTTGGAGTCCTTCCCTCGGGCACGGGTACATTTATTTCGGGCATACCGGTGTGTGATAGCGATACAGCGGGTCCTTTCGACTTCTTTCCCTGCCTTCCACGTGTCTTCTGTGCACCTGGGGATCGGGGCTATTTTGACTTTTTGGCATTTCTCACCCTTTTACCTTTTGCCGGGCTTTCGAGTTGTTTTTCGGTCACCGGACTGCGTTTCCTTGCGTGTGATGCGCATTGATTTCTTATCCTCGGGTGTTTGTAGTGACCGCTGGTGGGCGTTAAGGGAATTGTGGGTGTCTTGGAGTTGACGTCGGTGGATTTCAAGCGGCCACTTTGCTTTTCGTCCTTGGTCTTTTATTTTTAGATTTCTCTTTCCATCTTTCTTTATCTCTACCGTTTTTTTCCCTTTCGCGTCACTCCGGTTAAGTCGCGTTCTCGTTTACCCGATAGCGGTGTTTGATAGCGGCGGCCGTTTTGCGTTTTACGGTTTTGATTTGGGCGTGCGACAGTTCATCTCTTTTTTTGTCCGTTTGCCTGGGCTTTGGTTTCTTTTTTTATTCATTTAGCGCGGTTCTTTGTTGGATGGTAGCCAGATTACCTGCCGTGCCTTAACTTCTGTTCTCCCCCCTTTCACGTGTCCCAGCCCATGCTACTTTTGCTTTGCCATTTTTCATGTGATGCGCTGCCATCCTCAATTCGTACCAGGCTGTTTTTGTTGACCACTGAGGGAGTTGATGATATGGTGTTGTTTTTCGTTACTTTTCTTGTTTTTTAGCTTTCGCTTTCCGCCTCTATTTCTCCCTGAAACCTTGATGCCAAAGTTGCATTACTGATGCTCTTTCCTCCCTCAGGTGACGACCCGTTTTGGGAAGCTGTGGACTTGTGGTATGGCGCAACGGGGGACATTGAGTGGTACGATCCTGGGCAGGTGACGACGAGGGATGGAGCGTTGGTGATTACGATGGATTCGACGTCGACGACGAGGGCTGGGATGACGAATGGTGAGTTTTTCTTTGATTTGATTTTTCTTTCATGGGCGCTGTGGGTTGTTGTTCGGTTTTTATATCATGAGGTTATGATTTTGGTTTTTCTTACTGACTTGCTTTGGCGTTTATTATAGGTTCGACGGCGCCTTTTACGGCTGCTGATAACCATGGTCTGAATTATCGGAGTGGGATGCTGCAGACGTGGAACAAGTTTTGTTTCACGACTGGGTATATCGAGGTTAGCGTGACGTTTCCGGGGCCGGATCAGAATACCCAGGGTTATGTGAGTTTTCTTTCCTTTCAAAGTCCCGATGCTGGTTAACTAACTCGTTCTAGTGGCCCGGTGCTTGGACGATGGGCAACCTCGCTCGACCGGGATACGCAGCAACTACGGATGGAATGTGGCCATACACCTACGACTCGTGCGACGTCGGCACTTATCCAAATCAAACGAATCCCGATGGTCTAAGCCCTGCCGCGGCGATCCACTCTGACGCATCGCGTGAACGGTACAACTATGAACTGTCGTGGCTTTCCGGACAACGTCTCTCTGCGTGTTCATGTCCAGGATCCGATCACCCTGGCCCCACTGTCTCTCGTGGCCGCGGGGCCCCTGAAATCGATGTCTTTGAGGCGGAGAAGGATAAGGACTTTACAGTGGGACATGTGGTGTCGCAGAG